TTTAAGTTAAATACGTAAGGTCATAGATTAAGCATGAAAACGCCAGCAACGTGGTGCTTGCCTCCGACAGGGCACTAACCCTCCAAGCCTTAGTTTTCCCAACCATAACTGGCCAATGAACAGCAGCTCCAGATGCGGCTAAAGGAGGACTGAAGCTATAGAGCCTGTGCTCGGCGCAGGGCCCCCTGCTAGGAAGGTTTCGGAGGGACTGGACATGGTCTTTGCTATCTGTCTCCCATTACTGCAACGGGCCCAGAGGCAGGCCAAAGTTGCTCCCGTGATTGAGCTGAACATGCACGTTCCTAATCCCTGACGTTTCGAAAGCTCTGGCTCATTAATAGTGGAAAAGACGTGGACTGGATGGGGGAGTAGGGATCACGGTGCCCCACGTGGCCGCCTCGTGACCTCAATGGGGAGCAGTGAGGCCGGATCCGGGTTTCCACCTGCACGAGGGGCCCTCCCTCGTGCCTGCTGATATAATGGAGCTGCCCTGTGTCCAGGTATGAGAAGCTCATAGGCGGCAAGTACATGGGCGAGCTGGTGCGGCTCGTGCTGCTCAGGCTTGTGGACGAAAACCTGCTCTTCCACGGGGAGGCCTCCGAGCAGCTGCGCACACGCGGAGCCTTCGAGACGCGCTTCGTGTCGCAGGTGGAGAGGTGTGCGGAGTAGTAGGACGGGTGCAAAGGGCAGGGACTGGGTCTTAGGGTGAGGCTGAGTCCCAGGCCCGGGGACGCAAGGGCGGGAAACTACGGCCTGGAGCGCGATTCCAGCCGTGGGCGTGGCCCAAGGTGGGGCGGGGCAGGGCACAAGGCGGGGCGCTGGAGGCGAGGGCGGGGCAGGGACGGGTCCAGGGGCAGGAGGCTGGGTCAAGACCGGGATGCAAAGGGAAGGGTCGGGGTCCCGAGACTGGGCGCAGAGGGCTGGCCCAAGGGCAGAAGGCGGGGTCCGACGGGGATACCAAGAGCAGGGATGAAGGCGAGCCTGCGTCCCGGCAGTGGTCCCCATCCGTGAGTCCCCTCGGTGTTCCCTATCCGTCGTAGACACCCTCTCACATCACGCGCAGCCCCGAGGCGCGGCATGGTTGACAATCCCACGTTAGAGCGGAGACCCTGAGCTTAGTTAGAGGGAGTAGTACTGACCAGGTGACTGCTGGTCCCTGGCTTAACCGCGACCCGCTCTCCTCCGGAGCCCAAGCCCCAAACGCTTCGGGTGAGTGAGGTGAGCAGGATCGCCCCCATTTATCCATAGAGGGGCCCCACCTCAGCCAGGGAAAGAGGCTGCCGCTGGGGGCACGGCTGGCCGCGGCCCCTTCCTGGAGAAGGAGAGGCCGCCGCTGGAGGGGGACTGACTGGCGGAGCGAGACTCAGCGATCGCCCTACCTCCTCCCACCCCGCAGCGACACGGGCGACCGCAAGCAGATCTACAACATCCTGAGCACGCTGGGGCTGCGACCCTCGGCCACCGACTGTGACATCGTGCGCCGAGCCTGTGAGAGCGTGTCTACGCGCGCTGCGCACATGTGCTCCGCCGGGCTGGCTGGCGTCATCAATCGCATGCGGGAGAGCCGCAGCGAGGACGTGATGCGCATCACCGTGGGCGTGGACGGCTCCGTGTACAAGCTGCACCCCAGGTGAGCCCGCTCCTGCCCCTCCCTGGTAAAGTGGGGCCCAAAAAGCGCGCGCTCCGAGGTTCCTTGTGGCTCCCAAGCTCCAAGAATTCGTAAGCCTCTTCTCGGCCCCCTTGGCCTAGATTTGGGGGAAGGGTGGACTGCCTTCAGGGCGCCCGGTGATGGCTGTGGAGAATGGGCTGGGAGGAGGGACGGCAGCCTGCTTCTCTTCTGCCCAGCTTCAAGGAGCGGTTCCATGCCAGCGTGCGCCTGCTGACGCCCAGCTGCGAGATCACCTTCATCGAGTCGGAGGAGGGCAGTGGCCGGGGCGCGGCCCTGGTCTCGGCGGTGGCCTGTAAGAAGGCCTCTATGCTGGGCCAGTGAGAGCGGAGGCAAGCACAGGGAGGATGCCACAGTCGACGGCACCCGGGATCTACGGGGGAAGTGCTCCCCACACGTGCTCCCAGCCTGAGGGGGCAGGAGGCCTGGCCTTGTAAAGACCCTGGCAGCCTGCCATCCCGCTAGGGAACCCTCAGTCATTCGGTGGGACAGCCCCAGAGCCCTAACAGGGGTGCAGCAGGAGCGAGGACAGAGACTCTGGAAGCCCCCCACGTGTCTCTCTGGAATCAACTTCCCAGAAGGGAGTTGCTCATTCAGGACTTTGTTTCATTTCCACACTGTCAGAGCCGTTGCCTCGCCTGGGCCGGGGCTCTGAGAAGGGAGTGCCCTCTGGACCCTGCTATGGCCTGACTTCCCTGAGAACTCATCCTGTGCGGAGAGGCAGCTCCAACAGCTTGACCAGACCTAGACCTGGGCCAACAGGGCAGCCAGGGGCTGCTGATCACGCAGTCCTGGCCGTTTTCTTGCCTGAGGCTCAAGAGGCCCAGGGAGCAATGGGAGAGGGCTCCATGGAGGACATGTCCCAAGCTGCGAATACCCCCAGAGACCTTTTCTCTCCCATACCCCCATCCCTGAGTGGCTTGTGGCTCTGGAATGGACCCTCACAGCAAGTGCAAGAGACAGAGCCCCCAAGCCCCTGCCCCAAGGGGCCCATGAAGGGAAGAAGGGCCAGCCCTGCATCTTCCGCTCCCACAGCACTGGCTCAGGAAGAAAACCCAAGCAGCATTCAGCACACCCCAAGGGACCACCCGGACCCCATCATATGACATGCCACCCTCTCCATGCCCAACCTGAGACTGCGTGGGTTTTTTAATTAAAAATTTTAAAAGTTTTAAAACATGGCCTGTCCACTCTTCTTTGACTTCTGTGTATAAGACTGTGGAGACAATATACAAAGAGTCATCACTGCATGCATGAAGACACTTCAGTGGGCTGAGGGGTATCTTGGCCATGCCTTTCAGACAGCTCCTCTGGCCAGCTGTGCCCAGGGGAGTGTGAGGAGCGACAGACCAGGCTGTAGGAACAGGAATGGGGTGCCCTGGGGGGTGGCAGAGCAGTGGACAGTACGCTGCCTGGCCCAGGTTCCTGTTTGCCTGCCCATGGAATGTGTGCCAAGGGAGTGCCAGGCCAGGTGCTGCTCTGGGAAACTAGGGGGTGAGGCTGGTCCTGCTGCAGGTCAGTCTCAGCACTGTCCTGTCCAGTCAGAGCCACTTAGGTTTGACAGTGAATGGGGGCCCAGATATATGCTGTTTTTTTTTTTTTTTTTGAGATGGAGTCTCGCTCTGTCGCCAGGCTCAAGTGCAGATCATGAGGTCAGGAGCTTGAGACCAGCCTGGCCAACATGGTGAAACCCCGTCTCTCCTAAAAATACAAAACTTAGCTGGGTGTGTTGGCGGGTGCCTGTAATCTCAGCTACTCAGGAGGCTGAAGCAGGAGAATCACTTGGAGCCTCGGAGGTGGAGGTTGCAGTGAGCAGAGATTGTACCAATGCACTCCAGCCTGGGCAACAGAGCAGCAAGACTCTGTCTAAAAAATTAATTAATTAAGTTTCAAAAGAAAGAGGAAAAACACTGGGCAAGGTGGTATGTAGCTGTAGTCCCAACTACTCCAGAGGCTGAGGCAGGAAGGAGCGCTTGAGCCCAGGAGATCATCTGCAGTGAGCTCCACTCATGCCACTGCACTCCAGCCTGGGTGACAGAGGTCAGTGGCTCACACTGGTAATCCCAACACTTTGTGAGGCTGAGGCAGGCAGATAACCTGAGGTCAGGAGTTTGAGACCAGTTTAGCCAACATGACAAAACCTACAAAAAAAAAAATACAGAAATTAGCTGCATGTGGTGCCAGTTGCCTGTAATCCTAGCTGCTTGGAAGGCTGAGAAATGAGAATCGCTTGAACCTGGGAGGTGGAGGTTGTAGTGAGCCGAGGTCGTGCCAGTGCACTCCAGCCTGTGCAACAGTGAGACTCTGTCTCAAAAAAAAAAAAAAAAAAAAAAAAAGGAATTTAAGAAATTTAAAAGAAAACTCTTGTTGTATAAAAAGGGCATTGGGTCTGACAGATGAGAGCTCTGGCCCTTTGCCAGCCAGCTACTGACAGACATGGGTCTGGCCTAGGGGAGCGGGAGCGGCCAGTCAGCCCAGGCAGGGGTGGCCCGCTCCTGCTGCCTCCAGGATGTCCCCCGTTTCCCCAGCCCTTCTGTTGTGCCCTCAACCCCAGAAGCTGGTGAGGCTGCTTCTTGGAACAGCACCATGCAGGCCTGCCTATCAGCCCGCTGTGCACCAGGCCTTCTGGGGATGCAGCTGACAACCTGACTGGATGCTCAGGAGGAGCACAGAAGCCAGAAATGACGAACACAGCAGCCACCAGGCAAATGGGAAACGTGCCCCAGAAGCTCCCCACTGAGGATGTTAGGAAGGAGTATGGTTGAGATGGGGCTTGAGGAAGGCAAGGCTCCAAACAGCAGAGCAGACTCGGGGCAGGGCAGACTGCACGGGAGGGCAGCTGATGGAGCTCCTTCACCCTACAGAACTGCCCCAAAGCCAAGCAATGTTCTGCCTGGGGTCACAGCTAGCTCAGGGATGCCTTCTGTCCCTTGGTCAGAGGGGAAAAGGACAGAGCTTAGGGTCACCAAAACCTCTGGGAAATCCTTGGGGGGTCTCAGGCCACAGACCATCTTCAGAACTACCCACTGCCCTCCCAAGCCTGGCGGGCACCCTGGACTGGCCCTCCCCAGCTGTCCTCTTGCACTGGCTAGTGTTCTGACTGGACCAGCAAGGAAGGGTGGTCAGATATGGGGGCAACTGGATCCCTTCATCAGTACCTAGGGTGGTGAGAGCTTCGAGCCTGCTCTGCTCTGGGCAGGCATTGTACTTAGCCCTGCCAGGATGGATAGACACCAGGATGTTACACACTGAGGACATGAAGGTCATCAGGAATGTGGCTGGAATCTATTAGGGCCTTCGTCCACCCCCAGCCCACGCAGGGGCTGCCAAGTTTGGGCCTGTCCTCTGTTCCTCTCCTTATTTGGAACTTCAGGTGATAAGGCCGAGACATAAAGGAGACTGGGCCCTGCCTCCACGACAGCAGCCACACCTCTGCAGAGAGAATGGTGAGTGCCTGCCGGGGAAGAAAGGCTGGTGGTCTCCCAAGTGCTGGAATTTGGGCTGGGGTAGCAGAGTTTTCTGTGCTTGCATTGGGTTCAGGGTGGTCCCCGGGGAGAGGAAAAGGATCCTGACCCTGACTCTTCTGGGAATGCTCTGGGATTGTGCATGATGGGTAGGGTGGGGAGACTTTGAGGAGTTGGGGAGAGGACCCCTCCCCAAGCATGGTGTTGCAGGCCAGCAGGAAGGCGGGGACCCGGGGCAAGGTGGCAGCCACCAAGCAGGCCCAACGTGGTTCTTCCAACGTCTTTTCCATGTTTGAACAAGCCCAGATCCAGGAGTTCAAGGAGGTGAGTGCCCACTCCCAGCAGCCTCATTCCCTGTCCCGGACCCCTGACCCCACCCCACATACACACCCCACATACACACCCCACTTCTACCCTGACCTTGCCCCTCACATCGCCCAGGCCTCTTCCCCGCCTCCCACCTTCCCTACAGCTGGGGGCTGCTCCCTCCTGAAGGCCCCCATCCATAGGCTTTCAGCTGCATCGACCAGAATCGTGATGGCATCATCTGCAAGGCAGACCTAAGGGAGACCTACTCCCAGTTAGGTGCGTGCACCCACCTCCTACCCAGCCCCACCCTGCACACCGGGGTCCCTGCTTGGAGCTGCAGGGTGGGTGGGAGTGGCTGGGGGGACAGCACCCTGGTCCTCTGCTTCTCCTCCTCCCCGTCTCCTCACACTGCCCTTCCCCTCTTGTCACACCTTCCTTTAATTTCATCTCCCCAGCCCCTATGGCCAGGATGGAGGGAGGGCAGCCTGGGCCCTTCTGGGGAACACCCAGGGTCCCTGTGTGCACCTTATTCCCCACCCCCACCAGGGAAAGTGAGTGTCCCAGAGGAGGAGCTGGATGCCATGCTGCAGGAGGGCAAGGGCCCCATCAACTTCACTGTCTTCCTCACGCTTTTTGGGGAGAAGCTCAATGGTGAGCCTGGGACAGAGCTGGGCACCCTTGGCCATGCAGCAAGCCTGCACCCTGCCTGAACCCCATCTGAACCCTAACTGAACCCCACTGGACCCACCTGGACGCTTCCTGGCCATGGCCCATTCAAAGCATGTGGGCCCCGCCCCTGCCCATCCTCTGCCCCAGAATCCCATGTGCACTGGTCACCCCAGTGCTGACTTGGGGCCAGGAAATGTGCCTTCAGCCTCCACTCCCAAATTCCAATCTCCCAGCCAGGCTGCCCACCTTGGGAGAATGACTATTCCCAGCCCCACGGATCCCCGAGAAACAATTTATATTAAGGAATGGACCTACCCCTCCTGGGATGCGGGGCTGGGGGGGTGGCTCCTCGTACAGCCCGGTTCCTGCTGGGTGGGACCTGGGATGGAGGAGACATGGATGCTCACCTTCCTGCCTCGGCCTCCCAGGGACAGACCCCGAGGAAGCCATCCTGAGTGCCTTCCGCATGTTCGACCCCAGCGGCAAAGGGGTAGTGAACAAGGATGAGTAAGTGTGGGCCCAGCACGATGAGAGCACAGTGGTGGAAGCAGAGAGGGGAATGAGGCCCCTTGTGAGGTGGGCTGCCGGTACTTCGGGGCCTTCACTGCTCTTTGGGGCGCAGCCAGCCCTTCCCTGCACCATGGGAGCCTCCGTACCCACCTTCCCTGTGCAGTCATTCCCCTGCAGTCTCCTCCTCAGACCCTCCTCACTCCCCCCAGGTTCAAGCAGCTTCTCCTGACCCAGGCAGACAAGTTCTCTCCGGCTGAGGTGAGGCTGCCCACTGCCTTCAATATCCATCCCCAGCACCTTCTCTGGGCCCTCACCCATGACCAGTACCAGTAAGGCAGTTGCTGAAAGGGTGACCTGGGGGGCCTTTCTGGAGGAGGTGCCATCTCTGTTGAGACCTAGAAGGTAAAGATGTGGAGTCAGAAAAGAGAGCAGGGTGTGCTGCTCTCCCTGCAGACAGGGAGACTGTGCACAGCCCCGGGAGTGGGGGTGGGAAGCACATTAGGAGAGGTTTCACACACTTGGGGTGGGCCTGTGCCTGTGGCTGGAGGGACGCTGTTTGTCCCTTGGCCCCAGTTTGCACTGACTCCTCACTCTGCCCAGAGTCAGCCAACAGAGAAGCAGTCACCCAGAGTCTGGAGTCTGGGGTTGAAAAGCTAAGGCAGAAAGCACAGGTGCAGAGGGCAGGCAGAAGGGCCACAAGACTCAGGGCAGGTCTCTGCTGGGCTGGGCCAGGAGCCAGGGGGAGGCCTCTCACCAGCGCCTCCCCCAGGTGGAGCAGATGTTTGCCCTGACGCCCATGGACCTGGAAGGGAACATCGACTATAAGTCCCTGTGCTACATCATCACCCACGGAGATGAGAAAGAGGAATGAGGGGCAGGACCAGGCCCATGGGATCACCTCAATAAACTCTGTTGCCAAATTGGAATTGCTGTGATGTCTTGACTGTGACAGATGGGCTGGGGGCCAGCCAAGGGGATCCCAGGGTCCCAGTTCAGGCATCGTCCTGATCATGGCCACCATATACCTCCCAGGAGCCGGCCCCTCACCAGCTCACCTTGGTTCACTCCGATGCTGCCAAGTGCAATGTGAACTATGATCATGCCCAATTTACAGATGAGGACACCGAGGCCCTCAGAGTGTGAGCATCTCGCCAAGGCCAGACTTTTAGAAGAGGAGATGGTGGGATTTACACCACCTCCACCAAGCCCAGGAATGAGCCACAGGTGGGTACTGCCCAGCTACTTGGGGCTGTGCAGAGAAGAGGCTACTTGCTGGGTGCTCAGCAAACGTTCCCCAACAGCCCAGTGGGTGGGCAGTGGCCCTGGGACAACCCCCAACCACACAGCCTCCCCTGGCCCACTGCCTGCACCCTATCTTGGCACACTGGCTCAGGTGCCTCCCTGCATGGGCCCTTTGTGAAAGGCACAGAGGTACCCATTTGAAACACAACAACTTCTCATTGCAAATATAGGCAAGGCATTAAGACACGAGGAACATGGACATTGAAGGCTGGGCCAGGGTACATGCAAAGTTTTAGAGGAAATGCCCAGAAACTGGCATCATGGACATGCGTGCCCACTCCCAGCAGCCCCAGATCCCATCCCAGCCCCCCAACCCCACCCCACATACACACCCCACTTCTGAGCCCCTCATGTGCCATGAAGGGTAAAAGGGTCAGACAGCTGGAGGGTGGGGAGATCACTTCTCAGGAGAGAAGAGTGTTCCCATCACCCTTCATCTGAGAACCCAGGAGCTAAAGGAGAGGGTGATCCTTATCATGAGTTCCAGAGGAGCAGCAGGGCATGTCCAAAGCACCAGAGAGAAAGACAGAGAAAGAGACAGAGAGACAGGCAGCGACAGCTCAAACCTCGGCCAGACCCAAAGCATACAAATTCCTCGTGTAGTTGTCTGATAAGAGCTCAGCCTGCCTCCTCCCCTCCCTTCAAGCCCTGCTGCTATCCCTGCAACTGGGGGTCAGTGGGGAGGAGCTGAGCGAGAAAGGAGGGGCACCCCTTCCTGAAGGTCCCAAGAGGAAAGGCATTTTCTTTTTTTTTTTTTTTAAGACAGGGTTTCACCATGTTGGTCAGGCTGGTCTTGAACTCCTGACCTCAGGTGATCCACCCACCTTGGCCTCCAAAGTGCTTGGATTACAGGCATGAGCCACCACGCCCGGCTGAGGAAAGGCATTTTCACCCAGAAAGGTGGTCAGTTTTGATTTTATCTGGGGTCTGGTAATTTAATTACTAAGTTGAAACTTGAGACTTAAAGGAATTAAAGTCTTTTCTGTTGCTTAGAAGAGATTACAAAAGTCACGAGCTGCCTGAGTTTCCACCCCAAGAGCAGGCCACCAGCCCACTCCACTGAGCATGCTGGGACAGTGGGTGAACAAAATCAAGTACCAGTAGGATTCTACCACGTGAGTCTACTTGTTCAACAAGCTGATTTCATAAAGTAAGGGATCATGTTATAATCCAAGCTCTACCAGATAAATTGTGAAAGACTGAAATGAACCAAAAAGATCATAGGTGTCCAGTTATCTGATTTGACGATTTGATGGGGTATCTGCTCCTTTCATAGCCTTTGAGCTGTTTCACAACTCTGCCAATTATTATTATTATTATTATTATTTTGAGACAGAGTGTCTCTCTGTTTCCCAGGCTTGAGTGCAGTCTCATGATCTCAGCTCACTGCAACCTCCACCTCCCAGGTTCAAGTGATTCTCATGTCTCACGCTCCTGAGTAGTTAGGATTACAAGTGTGCACCCATGCCTGGCTGATTTTTGTATTTTTAATGGAGACAAGGTTTCGCGGTGTTAGCCAGGCTGGTCTCGAACTCCTGACCTCAGTTGATCCACCCACCTCAGCCTCCCAAAGTGCTGGGATTATAGGCGTGAGCCACCAAGCCCCGCCACAACTCTGTAAATTATAACCAATAGCGAGGCGATGGTTCTTCTCCGTAGACACGCAGTTAAATGTTGTCCAGTGGAAGCACAGTTGATTTTTCCCTTCTCTGTGGAAGAAGCCAATTTTTCATCTATTAAGCAAATTCATCTCAGCATTCCTGACTGTCTACACATGCACTGGCTCTTTGAATTCTTCTCTGAACCAGGCCCAGGGATGAGCCACAAGATGGGCACTGCCCAGCTCGTTGGACTGTCACATCTTATTGATTCCTACATGAATTCACAACTAAATAAAATATTTGGCAGTTGTCCACTTTGTGTGCAAGTCAAGATTTTGCTTTAAAAATATTATCATTTCACACTCTGCTGTAGTTGTCTGATAAGGTTAGCCCTTTCCACACCAACTGTCTGTATTAGTGTTATTTGGAATAAACTGGGTAGAATGTGGTGTGTGTGTGTTTGGGGGTGTGTGTGTGTGTGTGTGTGTGTGACAAAAGAGAGACAGAAGGATAGAGACAAACAGATGGGCACAGACCCAGGACATGAGTTCTGCCTATGCTGACCAACACGGTAGCTGCTGGCCACTTGAAATGTGCTAAGTGTGAGTTGGGATATGCTACAAGCGTAAAATGCACATAATATTTTGAAGATTTTATACAAAAAAGAATGCAAATACCTCATTAATAACTTTCTATAGATTATATGTTGAAATGATAATGTTTTGGGTATTGGGTTACTACTAAAATTAATTTCACCTATTTCCTTTCACTTTTTAAATGTGGCTACTAGAATATTTAGAATTCCGTAAGTGGCTTGCATTTCTGGCTTTCGCTCCTGTTGGAAAGCACTAAGTTAGATTGCGTAGCATGTCTATTTAAGACTGCAGTTTCCAGGCCAGACACAGTGGCTCACGCCTGTAATCCCAGCACTTTGGGAGGCTGAGGCAGGCAGATCACCTAAAGTCAGGAGTTTGAGACCAGCCTGCCTAACATGGTGAAACCCTGTCTCTACTAAAAATACAAAAATAAGCCAGGTGTGGTGGCACACACCTGTAGTCCCAGCTACTCCGGAGGCTGAGGCAGGAGAATCTTTTGAACCCAGAAGGTGGAGGTTGGAGTGAGCCAAGATCAAGCCACAGCAATCGAGCCTGGGAGACAGAGCAAGACTCCGTCTCAAAAATAAATAAATAAATAAATAAACAAACAAATAAATAAATAAATAAAAGACTGCAGTTTCTGGGAGACTCCAAGGCAGGCACCAGCCTTCTCTGCAGCGGGTGCTTGCAGCAGGGAGCCAGAGTTTTGACATACTCAAAAGGAGCCAATTTCATTTGGGTGGGGTTGTCTCTGAGTGTTCTGGCAGTACGGACAGAAAGGAGAGAAGGTTGTTTCCAGGAAGGAGAGATCATACAAATTATTTGTGAAAACAGACTTTTTCCTCAGTTGAAGCTGAGGCATCCATTATGTGTAGTGTCTAACAGTCTACACCTGCGGATGTTGGACAGAAGGTGGTGCGAGGTATGGCTGGGGAGAGCTCTGGGAAGGGGGAGACCAGCTCCATGTTGTCCACCCACTGAAAGGAAAGTTCTCTCTGGGGGAGGTGGATGCCCCTGCCAGGCCTGCAGGTCCCTGCTCACTGTGAGCCCTATGTGGTCCTGGCCTGGATCCCACCAGCCATTGCCCGGCAGCAGCTCCTAGTTGGATAACAGACATAAATACAACAGGTAACCAAGCATGATGGCTCACAACTGAAATCTCAGCTACTTGGGAGGCCAAGGCGGGAGGACTGCTTGAGCCTGGGAGGTTGAGGCAGCAGTGAGCCAGGATTGTGCCACTGCACTCCAGCCTGGGTGACGGAGCAAGACTTTATTTAAAAAAAAAAAAAAAAAAGACCGGGCACAGTGGCTCACACCTGTGATCCCAGCACTTTGGGAGGCCAAGGAGGGCAGATCAAGAGGTCAGGAGTTTGAGACCAGCCTGGCCAACATGGCGAAACCCCATCTCTACTAAAAATATAAAAATTAGCTGGGCATGGTGGCGCGTGCCTGTAGTCCCAGCTACTCAGGAGGCTGAGACTGAAGAATTGTTTGAACCTGGGAGGCAGAGGCTGCAGTGAGCTGAGCTCTCACCACTGCACTCCAACCTGGGTGACAGTAAGACTCCGTCTCAAAAAAGAGAGAGAGAGAGAAAGAGAGAAATGCAGCAGGACCAGGAGCGGTGGCTCATATCTGTAATCCCAACACTCGGGGAGGAAGAGGAGGGAGGATTGCTTAAGACCAGGAACTCAAGACCAGCCTGGGCAACATGGTGAAAACTCACCTCTTCAAAAAAATTAAAAAATTAGCCTGGTGTGGTGGTACACACCTATAGTCCCAGCTATTAAGGGGCCTTGAGCCAGGTCCAGGCTTCAGTGAGCCATGATTGTGCCACTGCACTCCAGCCTGGGTAACAGAGTGAGACCTTGTCAGAAAGGAAAGAAGGAAGGAAGGAAAAAAGGAAGGAAAGAAGGATGGAAGGGAGGGAGGGAGAGAGGAAGGATGGATACAGGACCCAAGGGGCCTAAATGCCCCCACTGTGCCCAAGTTCTGTGTGACTCAGGCCCGTCCTCCTCCACACCCCACTTGTTCCTGCGGGCCCCCAAGGGGAGCCTCACCAGAAGGCTGCTCATAAACCCACCGCCCCTCATCCTTCCTGTCTTTCTGGAAGACTCACAAACCTTGCTGCTCTAAGAACACCTACATCTGAGCCAAGGCACTCGTTCCCGGTGTCCCAGAGCTCCTGGTCCTAGGTGTCCCTGTCCCACATCCCCCCATGTAGCCCTGCTCTGGCTCAAGCCCCCTGAGTGTGCAAGAGGAGGTCCCCAAGCCTCTTGCCCTCCCTGGAACTGTCCAGAGCCTTCCCATCTCTCTGGAGGGAATTCCATCAGTTTCTGCCCCTCTTTCTCTTCTGACAAGCACTCATGTTCAGTCTGATAGCAGAAGCATCATCTGGTACCCTCCTGAACGGAACCCAGAGTGCCTCCT